CTCCCTCCCTCCCTCTCTCTCTCTCTCTCTCTCTCTCACAGGAAATTCTGAGGATGGACTAGAGTTTGCAGCTTGTATGAATGGTCAAAAGCATGCTGCACTCAACGCCCACCTCATTGTTAACAGACATGAGGAAATGGGATATCTCACCATGGAAGCTTCTAACCAATGTTTGAATTTGAAGGCCCATGGCTGTTGGGATCTAGTCATGAAGACTGAGGTGGGATGCCATACAACGAACAAGGAGTTGATCTCTCTGTCTCTCATTCCAGTCTGCAAGCAGCAAACCAATAAACAAATTTAGTTTAAAAAGTCAGCAAGCGTAGGAAGTTGTAGAGATGCAGCTACAGTACTAAGTTTGTAATTGACCCAGTTAACCAATTTGGGTCAACACTATAATTGGATTACAGCCCAGATTTTAAATAAATCCCTGTGTGAAGGCCTCTGTCAAGCAAATTAGTCGTTAATTGTGGTAGTTAAATGGTATCAAGTTGAGCTTGACTCTTGGAGACTGCATATCCAATTCTTCCCACCTTGATCAGTCTTTAGTTATAACTCATAGTTTTTCTATGGACATTCCAGACATCTCCTTAATTTCATTCATTGTCTTCCCCTTCTTCCAGTTCCTTCAACCTTGCCAACATAATCAGTTTTTTAATCCATCAGCATCACATGCTCAAAATATATCAATGTCCACTTGCTGGCCTTCATCTCATAAGTCAGCCTTTATTTGTCCATGACTGATCAATGAGTTCTTCTTGCAGTCCACAGGACTCTTAGTGTTTCCAAATCCATAATTTTAAGACATTTATCTTCTTTCTTTCTCAGTGTCCAGCTTTCACAGGTTTTAGCTTTAGCACTGGAAGAACCATTAACTATCATGATATTGTCACTGAAATGTGCGGATCAATGTTTACTCCAAATCACATCAACCTGTTGCCTCATTTTGACTCCAGAGATACTTATTCTGCTCTGCCTCTTTGGCTAATAAACTGTATTAACTACCTTAAGAGTCCTTTCTGATTCTTTACAGTCAAAATTGGGTGAGATTACATCTGATCTCCAGCGCAGACTGGTGGAAAGAATAAAAAAATTGGAGGAACACATTCAGGATTTCAGAAAATCGGTAAGATATAGGCACAAATATTGGGTGTGGTGTGTGTGTGTGTGTGTGAATCTTATTTTTTAAGCACCAAACTCTATAGTTTAACTTTTTATCCAAACAGGTGAGCATACTTCCATACAAAACTCTGGATTCCATTCTTATTTTCTAACAACACTTTGAATCCTACATCAGATTGAGATGCATTTTCTTGGAAATAAAAATTATGCTGGTCCCTGATGTTTGTCAACTTCTGATATCTACTTTAAAAAATAAATAAATAAAAGAATCTTTAAAAATTTAAATTCAGGAATGCAGGCAACTTGGTGGACATGGAAAAATGGGTCTGTGGGTACAGTCAAATTCATAGACATCACATTCCCCGCTCCCAACAATGTAGCCATATTTGCCTTTTTATGAAGACCCTTCTGGGTGCAAGAAAGACATAGAAACCCAGAGAGAGCAGATTACCCCTTTTTTATATAATTTGTACCATAGGTCCAGCACATTGAATTTCTATATGATGCTGTTGGCTGGTCTTTAGAAGCCTCCAAAGAAATGGTACGAGTCCTCCACAGTGGGATGAGCACAGTTGCTCAGTTGTGGGAGCAGAGTGGATTTAAACACCTATTACAGGATCATCTCCCACTGTACCTGAGGAAACTTCAAAACATTCTACAACAAATCCAACTGGAACTCCAAAGTAAGCACAGATGGGCAAAAGGAGGATGTAGAGGAAAGAGGGAATAGCCTTGAGGGACAGGAGGAAGGCAGTGGTAAGATAAAAGGGGCCTAAGCCCCAGCCAAGAAAGTAATCTGAGTAAATGTCTCAGACAAGCCCCTCCCTAGATCACATGAAGGCAAAGGGAGGTGTCAGGCCCAGCCCAAGAACAACGGTAAAACAGTCCAGTTGAATAAAGTTCCTTTATTTGCTTACAGTTTATAGACAGAATCTTCCCAGACTAAATCTATACTACTGCAACTAGGGGATATACCCTGGGAGATTCTAGGGAGTGGCTATCCTGAACCTCTTTTGCGTCCTCCCCCCCTGCGGACTATATTGTCTCTTGTCTCCTTTCCCCTCCTGGAATGCGCCCCCTCCTTCCTGATAGCCTTGATCTCTCACATCACCCTCCTCTTCATAGATACATTCCAACACAGGAGGGAGGGGGAAGCACATTCAGACTTATAGAAATTACAGTGTGTTCTCCTAGGCTTGAATTCCAGGGGGAGAGTTTCTATGGACGGAGCCTAGATTTTCAAAAAGAAAAAATGTGTTGATGTAAGACCTGATTCCCAGATGGATAAAGATTCAGGAGCCCATTATGTCAACAGCCAGCTTCAAGCTTCTCCATTATCAGCAAAGAGACCTGTCTCCTTGCTGGTTTATAGGGAGGCTGTTAGAAAGTACTAAAAACTCCACCATAATATAGATAGACATATATTGGTTTTAAATTGAGAATAATTTACTTGCTGGACTTCTTGTAATCTCATCCCATTCGTGTCAATAAATCTTGCTACAGAGAACACTATGGGGATTGCCCTGGGAAAGAATCACTTTTGAGTTATGGCAGGTGCCAAGGACCCTAGCAGTTGAGCTCTTGGCAGCTGCCTAATAAAATCCCCTCGAGCTGATAGGATTTTATGATAGATCTTCATGACAGATCCTTTTAATGTATTTTTTTTTCTATTATATTTTTTAAAACTTCTTATTCAAGAGCCACTGACAACCCTGAAAGATGTCTACTATGATGTGACTTTGAAACCTTGGGATGAAGTTTGGCAACAGAAGACTGACGCATATCTAAAGAAACTCCAGGCACTGGTGCCCACTGTCGTGAAAGATGCATGGCTAATGGAACCCATCCAGGTTGCATTAAGATCATTGAAAACTGGCTTTGATATGGTTGGTATTATATACTTTCTCTTGCGCGCAGTTCCGTGTAGGACTTCTCTTGACAGGCTGCATAGATGTTTCCTTGATCCTCTCAAAGACAAGAGAACATTGAGGGTGCATACTTCCATGGTCCATGTGCTTGGCATGTTCTCGTGAGTAAAATCTCCCACTTCCTGTTAAATATGGCCTCCAGAAATAAAATGAGATTCCTGTCATAACCCAATCTAGAGAATAGGGACCTCTGCTCATTACAGGCAATGGATCTAAAGTCTTCTGATGAACAGAAGATGGTCTGGGAACCATTGTTTAAATTTCAGGCAGTGCCCACAACTGTGGTCAGCAGCATCTGCAGGGTGTATGTGTGTCAAAATCTGTAAGATGGCAAGCACGGTGTTGTCCCACCCCTTTTGTGTGTGCATCCAGCGGTGCTTCAGTCACAATGTCTCTCCTGCCACCTTGCAGATTTCAATCCCTCTGTAGGCTTCCATGATTATCATGATGCTCTGGTGTTTCATGGAAAGCGTAAATGGCCATTTGTCACCTACAACTGATGAACTCCTGTTTGGGCTACCTTTTCCAAGCATCATTTGACAAGGGGGCTCTTCATGCTGGAATAAATTGTTCTCAGAGGGTCTTGTTGCACCACAAAACGGGTCTGAGCTTGGTGCCGAAGCCAAAAAACATCCAAACACGAGGTGCAGAATAAAGGGTTGCTTTTATTAAGGTACCAGAACAAAAGGACTCCAGCCTGTAAGGTGGCAGAAGCCTTGAACACAGTTTGGTTACAATTTTTATACTTCCCCAATTCCCTCCCCAGTTCCTCATTGATCAGGTACTATGGAGTTTACAACCTATCAGATACA